TGATTATTATGCAGAAAGGCAAGCTATTGTGTATTTCTAGGAAAAAAAAAAACCTTTACATATGAAGGAGCACCTACTATGTACTATAAATGGAACGGGAATGAGATTTTAATAATGAAACCACACTTGGGAGAATTAGCAAGTGGTAGGATACTTGGTGACAACAGGAATGCACTGTGTGAGCATGTTATCTTATTGATGACATTTCCATTTCTTTACTGTGTAGCATTTATGGTATAATTAGTCGATTGTGCAGTTGAACTGGTTCTAAAATATGAACTTATCTTAAAGTTTAAAAATAAGTCAAGTATGAATTCCTGAAACTTTGTCCAAAGAAAAGAATTGATGGTTTTATTCTGATGAAGGGGTATCTATCTATTAGGATCCTCTCTGCAAAATCAGTATCCATAAAACCACTGGCAAAAAAAAAAAAAAAAAAAAAAAAAAAAAAAAAAAAAAGTGGAAGAGTTGTTTCAGATACTCTGAGTTATCTCCAGTATAAAATTTCTCTTTATCAGTACCCTAGAATATAGGGAAGGGATTCAGGTAATTATGGTAATAGATAACAATGAGGCTTAGATTGGTCCAAGAGAAAATGCTTAACAAAGCAGCCATTATTTTCGTGTGATTATAGGTTCACCTTTTCAGTTGCTTCCTCTAGGTCATTTAAGTAGGTCTTTCAACAGACAATGTGGTGAGATTATTAGAGGTAGCTTGGGAATGTTTACTTGAACTTGCTATTGTATAGATGTCTTTATCCTTGATGTGGTTTCCCAGACTGTCACTTCAAACTTTTCTTATCAATGTACCCCATCAGAAATGAAAACAAACCACCCTTTAACTGATATTTCAGTTTCTGAACTGTCAATGTTGAACTGACCTCTGCTGTATCTTGACAAGCAGGACAGATTAGCTCTCAGGTAGCTCAGCCTTGAAGACTGCCTCTCTGCAGTCCCTGTGGCATTTCTCTGGCTTTAGCCAAGCTACACATCTAGGCACTAATCCCTTCTGAGGCAGATCCATTTCATCTTCTCAAGCCAAATCCCTTAGTTTTATTTCTACTGGAATAAAGAGAGAGGGAGAAGGCTTCTCTTATTCCTGAGGATCAAACTAAACACCCCATCATTTTCATCTTTCTGTTCCTGTCAGCAAGACACGTGCAGGTTATTCAGCTCTGGCTGTGATTCTCAGGGCACAGAAGCTGCTCTGCTCAGCAGGTAGAAGGGACCTGCTCTGCTCAGGTCAGAAAGCTACTGAGTCCGGTGTTTACACTCAGAGAACATGGATCCACAAATTCTTGTTTCTTGACAATCACACTCCATAATTATCTTCATTCTCTGGAAAATCAATGTTCTAGCATAAAGGGATCAGAGGTTTACTTTATGCTTGCAGTTTAGACCCATAGACTCACTGCTACTGGCCAGAATGGTGCCGTTTTATTTTCACCAGTCTTGGGGCATTTGTTTTCTTGTTGAGAGCACTTAGGTATGGCCATCTGTGATAGCATGACACTAAGGTTCTGTGCTTCAGTCACAACTGACCAAGCAACAATCACACCCAAATATTAAAGTGATCATTCAGAGCTGGCAGCTCCATCTTTAGGAGAAATTCAGCCCTCAGGGACAACAAAAGAAACCCAGACACTCTGTTGAAGGCTAAACAAAATCAAAGAATTGTAGGTCATCCAAGAGCCAAGCAATGTCATTGTCAAACCTCCAAGAGAAAGTGGAAATTGAGGAATTGCTTTAAGGTCATATTGGTATTTTAAAGGGAAAAAAATTAGGATGAAGTAAATTCCCAAATTGTAACCTGACCTAGATCCTTCAATAAAGCCAGTGTTCCATAAAGCTGTTGCCAAATGCTATTTTAATCAAAGCCATCCTTTGCTGGAGCTCTATCCTGAAAGTGCAGCTATTTTCATCAAGAGAACTCTGACAGCATACCCAGGAGGAACACACAGTGTTGCTGGCATCATTTAACTGGATTGTTGTTTGGTGCTTCTACAGATAGTGAAATGTTACTCATCTTTGTTGATATTGGTGGCCACTTTCTGTCTAGAAACATATACTACATCCTGGTATTGGGATCTTATAAATGTACTCTGTTCCCACTGATATGCAAACAGATCTCATTCACATTTATGATTACACAGACTTTCTCCCTCAAGAAAGTTAAGTCACTATAGCTTTTAAAATTTTGAAACTTGTTTGATAGATAGCCTCATATGCATACTATACAGGCAAGGAAACTGGAAAAAGCATGTTTATGTGGAAAAGAGAATGTATGAATGAATAGATAGCTTGAATAGGTAAAGAAAAAGAAGAAGAAGGCGGCTCCTATAGCATTTTCAACTTGAGGGGAATGGATTTAGGAAAGATTCTACCTCCAATGATGAATACATTCCAAACCTCACTGTCTTCCTAAATATTTCCACTATGGGAAAACACCAACAGAATATTCAAGAAAGTACTTGTGTGATTAAAACCATACATGGCCAATACCCAAAGTAGAGGTCCATTCAGTAAATCATTGAATTACTTAAAGCTATGCCTGAACTAGGGACATGAGTAGCTTCATGGAAAGACTGAGCTTCCTGAATTTCACAAGAACATATGCATTGATGATGGTTAATTTTATGTGTCAACTTGAGTGATCCATGGAGTGCCCAGATGTTTGGTCATACATTATCTTCTCAGTATTTCTGTGAGAGTATTCCTTTTTCATTAGAAGACTGAGTAATGCAGTTTGGCCTCTAGAGGCGAATGGGCTTCAGTCAGTCAGTTGAAGACCATCATAGAATAGAAGGCTGGCTCCACCCTGAGTGACACAGAATTCTCCCTGACCGTCTCTGAACTGGCATATCTGCTTTTCTCATATGACAGCCTCTAAGTTGGGACATCAGGTCTTCCTGGTTCTACTTTGGACTTGACCTGGAATACTGTTTCTGCATTTTTGGACTTGCTGGACTTCATAAATGTATGAGCCAATTTCTTATAATAAATATCTCTCCACTGTGTACTATCTTGGTTTTTCTTTGTAGACTGGTGGTTCTGTTTGTCTGTAGAACCCTAATTAGTTTGTCACCTAGGATTTTCAAGTAGGATGAACACTTGCCAATAAATTCTCAGTGCTGGCCACAATAGTAAAAATACAGTAAATAGTAAAAAAAAAAAAAAAAGTCCTATCTCAGAGGTGTATTTATAGAAAAATCTAATGGTATTGAAGGATTGTCAGAAACACATTTCCTTAAACATCTTGCTGCTTAGTTGGTGTTCAGTTTCTTTTTATACAGGACAGGGGAAGGCATTTTGAAGAAGACAAATGCTCATATGAATCTGTTGGTGAGCACGGCTCTATCGTTACTGGAACTGGTGGCTGTGTTGTCTTCTGTCACAGCCCCTTGCACTGTGTCTGACATGTGCAGGGTAGTTAGTGCTTTCACTAGCAAATAAAGGCACTGTGGGTTATTAATAAGTGCTTGGGAGAATAACAGAGTAGAAGAATATTAAGAGGGAAGAAGTAGGGAAGGGCATGGGGAAGTACTGGGGAAAAAAATCTACAAAAGTATGCTATGTCCATGTGTGAACATACTACAATGAACCCTGCTTGTATATATGATTATTATACACTAACTAATTATGATACACTTACTACTATTACTACTACTACTACTACTAATAATAATAATAATAACAACAACAACAACAACAACACATGGGAGCAATGGATAGAGCAAGTAGATCAGGGGGAGGAAGGAAGGGAAAAAAAAGGACAGAAAGGGAGAGTGAGATTGATCAAATGTGCATGAATGAGTATGGCATAATAAATTCCAGTACTATGCATAATGGTAATGCACCAATAAAAATTGTTAAAGAGGAAAAAAAATTAATGAACTATAAAAAGTACTCGTTTCAATGTTCTACACATTTTAAATGATGAATAACCCATACAGATTTATTCTGAACACACAAAACAGTTAGCATGTGCTTGCCCTCAATGGTACCCAGTCATATGGATGCAGAAAAAGAAATTCAACATACTGTCATTTTCCCTAATAAAAAGTGACATATATTCCTAAAAAGATCTCAAAATATTGTTTTTCTAGATATCACCCCATGAGTTTTCCAAGAAGGGAAACTAGCTCCAGCAAATATGTATGCTCCCAGTCTTCTTTTTTTTTTAAAGGATCCAAGTAAAATCAACATACCTCAGCTCATCCAAGTGGGAAATGGAGGAGGGGTTAATATTTACTGAGCACCAACTTGGTGCCATAAAAGATGTCAATATATCTTTTTCTCATTTTGCCTTGATAATAACTGAAAGTGGCTATCATCACTTTTGGTACTTATAGTCACGGAAGTTAAGTGGCTTGGTTAGGGCCACAAAAAAAACAAACAAACAAACAAACAAAAAAAACCCTGTCTCTCCTTGAATATATTTGATCCTCCCTTTTAACCCAGTCATACAGTCACTTGGAGATGAAAACAGTTTGCTCTTGGGAATAAAGCAAAGGCTTAGAAGTTTTGAAACAATCATGCTATTTTCTACCCTGTCTGATCAATGGGACATGAAACTACACACCTCTAGAGGTCTCCCTATCCCCCACCATTTGTAAGATACAGTTGTAACACACATTCTTCGCCAAGGAATCCTGGCCTCTGAACACTTCCATGTCTTATAGTGCTGCAAAATTCTTGGGAGAACTCTAAGCACACAGTGGTCAGTACCAGAATTTCACCAAACACAAGTGGTAGCTACTGATAGTCTTAAATGTTTTCTATCTGATTAGATTATGATAAAAATTAAAAATCGCCCCATGTTAGTAAGAATGTATCTATCTACTTTTCTATGCTTCCTACCTATTCGCTTTTTTGTGCCTGGTGATCTGGCTTCCTGCTGACTACTTTAACCCAGTTAATGGTTGTGACATCCTTTCTTGAAATATGTGAAAATATGGACATCATGCACCAACACCGAAGACGTTAAACAGAAGGTGTTACCTAGCGTGCAGAGACCATCTGTGCAGTTTTCAGATTCCTGGCTGAGACCTTCACAGAATTTGCCCCCATTTCTCGGGGGTGGTGCTGAGCATTCCCGGATCCGGAGATGCTCACAGTCTGGACTGCAGACGGACCATTCACTCCATACTTCCCAGCTTCCGTCCACTTCAAAAGGAAAAGAACAGAAACCATCATTAGAAGGAAGCAGCTGTCAGGAGACTCCCTCCAGGGTTGCTGCTGCTGTCCTTAGCACTGGATTTTAAAGAAATCATCACCAAAATAACAATAAATCCACAGATAAAGAGTATCCTCTCTCCCTGGTTTTTTTTCCTAAAAAAAAAAAAAAATGCAGTGATATAATTCTCTTACTATTTCAGGATGAGACAAGTTATTGAATTTAGGCAAGCAGCTGAATGACCAGTATCTTTGGGTTGGCTGATAAGGGCACTATCTATTCTTCCCCAGTCTTTCATGCTCAAGTGCATCTTAGATGGACAGGTGAACTATGCAGTAACCCTTGGTAACCAGCTACTGCCTTGTGGGTTGACAGTTGAGAACAGAGGGTAAAATAAAAATAAACTATCTTCTATCCCTAAATGTCCCTATACTATTAAAAAATTAAACCCAAATATACTGATACTTTAAACTAAAACAGGTCAGTTAAACCCCAAGATGCCAGGACCTACATAAATAGAATTTCTTGGGTCATGGATTGCTGCTATATGTAGAAATGAACAAACTAAACTTAATTCCATTAAAAATCAACCCTAGAGATTAGGGCAGATGTTTGAGACAATTGCCCCATTACCTCCTAGGAATAGTCTAACCATGCTTATTTGGGTTATGGTAGTACAATTTTTAATCTAAAGCAATTAGTCCAAGAGTAGAGTAAGATTAAAAAAACATAGTGAACTTGAGGCAAAATTTCTGAGTCCCTGAGTTGGTCGTACCAATTTATAAGCGATGCAACACTGGGCAATCATATGGCTACAATGACTAGTCTATCAGCTGGAGATAATAAAACTCACAACACAGAGTTAAATGACATTACATAGAAAAATATCCTGCGCAGTACCTGGCACATAGTAAGCACTCAATAAATGTTTATTGAACATGAGTCCAAAAGGAAACTCCAAGAATATTCTGCTGGTGAGAGCCTCAACTTAGCTTTGGGTGCAACTAAGTTTGAAATTTTAGGCTCTGGTCCCGTGTCCTTGGAGTTAATATTCTGTAGTGCATATGAGATGCAGGATCAATTTATTTCTCAGTGGGAGGATATGCTTTCCATAAAGAAAGCCATCTTCCATTTCATCTACTTTTCATTGTATGAATTGGGTTACAGCCAGGAAGAGGAGAACAGAACTGATAAAAGACACATTTGGTAAATGAGGTTTATCTTTTCAGAAAGAAAGGCAAACACATACCCAAGGTAAAATATAAACTGCTGTGAGAAGTGTATGATCCCTGCCAATTGTATTATAAATAAATACAAAGCCAAAATTGATAAAAGGTCAAGTGTTTGGTAGCTGATCCTTTGTGCTTGAAGAAAACAAACTAGTCCCTGCTTACTGTTATACAAAGACATGCCACAAAGAGGGAGAACCCAAGGAGAGAAGGGGGTGGCTTAGCCCAACCAAACAATGGTAGTATAAATGCTTCAAAGAGCATTTGGCTTACTGATCATGAGTGTATGAAGTCATCTGAGTATTAAAAAAAATGCCCTAAAACACTGAACAGGGGTATTGAATTGACAATGTTGCCATTACAATGAGTCCCTCATTAGACAAAGGCTCTATCCTCAGAACCTGGGAAAGGGTGACTTTGGAAAGGAAGGTTATATTGATTGCTTCACACCAGCTTAATAGTGTTGGTGGATCAGAAGGGAAAGGGAATCTGCGTATATCTCACCAGGACAAAGAGAAGTGCAGGTTATTTTCTGCACTGACATTCCCTCACAAAAGGCCCCACCATTGAGAGGAGCTGGGTTGGTGCAGGTCCGGGAACGTTTCTGCCATCCTCTACCACAGCGAACATTGCAGGCTGACCACTCTGTCCAGGAAGACCAGCCTCCATTCACTGAGAGACAAAAATGGGGAGGGGAGAAAAAAAAGGAGAGAGGTTTTTACTGATTGCCTACTATGTGCAAGCCACTGTGCCAGGTGTTGTGAGCTGGGCATCTGGGGACCAAGAGACTGGTGAGGCAGCCTGGGCCTCACCTCTGCTACCCCTCAATCTACTCATCAGTATTAGGCAGGATCTAGAGAGTGTGCTTTGTGGGGGAAATTATGAAAAATAGGAAGACTTCATCAAAAGATCTCTAAAGCACTTGAAAATCCAGAGTATAAGAAGAAAATATCAGCATTTGAATTTCTATTACTTTAAGTGCTTTGAATATAAATCCCAAGGCTCTTCTATTATGGAAGGGAATGCCTTTAGTTAAACATCTGGGAACTTCTTTTCTATAATACCTGAGATAGTCAGCAAATAGTAATGTTTGTTTTTGGTGATTTCATATGCCAGGAGAGAAAGCAACTGGCAGAGGGAATTGGGGGGGGTGGTGGACGCTGGGTTTGGGAATGGAGAGAAGCAGAAGCTGCCCATTATGCTTTTAAACTATAAGCATAACGGAAGAAAACAAACAACTCTTATTATTATTTTTAAAGGAGAGAGACTGGAAATGTCACTATCTAATTGAAGTCCAATATTGGGCAGAACAGCAAGCACATCAATAGCAAGAGGGAGGTTTCCTCACCTGCCAAGTGGGGGAGGCAGGACAGAGCACTGGAGTGGAGAGCCCCCCAGGTCCTTTCAGCTCTAAGCAGGGAAACGTTTAGTGAAATACACATCTCTCTACTTTTCTGCCTTCTGCCCTCCCTATCCATTCCTGGCCTTTGGGCTGGTCTTACCATAGACCACCACAGTGGCTGACAGGCTCCTCCTCTTGGCTACTATGTTGGCTGCCATGCAAGTATAATTCCCTGAGTCAGAGAGTCGTGCCTGCCTGATGATCAGGTTATGGTCAGCCCTGGTGTCAATGTTCTCATCTTGTTCTGAGTCAATGGGTTCTTCATTTTTCAGCCATTCCACCTACAGGAAGGAAAGAAGGTTTATAAGTTATTTTTTAAAAAATAATAACTCTTCTGCAACCAGAAGGTGATTAGTTCTGGTGTACAGGAAAGGGATGTACCTAACTCATAGTATAATTATGACTTTTTTCTTTATTCCATATCTTATCCTTTTTATTTAGTAAATCTTGTTCTATTCAGGAAATGGATACTCAAGTTAATAAACTGAAAGTAGGAAAAGAACACAAACAGTCTACTGACTTTGACCCATTTTTCTAAAAACGCAATAGAAGAGAGAAAAGAGGTGACTGCAATTAGGTCATTTCATTTTATTTCATTACAATACTGCTTCTGCTGCTGCTGCTGCCGCCGCTGCTGCTATTTCAATAACTGGTCCAAAATCGAGCTCAGAGAACACACATGCTGAATTTATACTTTGTTTTGAGAGGCCATTTATTGAACCAAATTTTAAGCCAATATGTTTGTGTTTAAACAAGTTTTAATAAAGGTGTGAGACTGTATAAAGGCCAAAGTAATCCAGATTTGAGTAATGATAGACACATAAATTAAATTCAAATCTTAGTGTTCTCCAGATTTGAAGATCCATTTCTTGGGTGATTAGTTACACGGTTCCTCCAGAGATTCAGCAGACAATTGAGCTCTGGGTTATGCACCTTACCATGTAAGGCCCAGTCTCTCTGCTGGAGGAGAACATCTCCTCCATTCTCTGAGCAGAGGCTGGTTCTTGATTTATTTCAATCTCTAGAGCTTGTTCCTGGAGAACCTATTGTACTCTCTCCAGCTCCATCTGGATCATATCCTTACTAAGTTTCTCTCTCCTTAGACACCTGAGGGAGAGACAGATGGGAGTCTTCTGCTCCCCAAATCCTCATTCTTGGTCAAGTAAACTTAGCACCCATTTCATGAAGCATGTCAGCCTCCTGTGTGTGATCTTTGTTCCTTCCCTGTTTGTCCTTTGCTTCCAAATCTAAGTAACATTTCAACTCTCCAGTGCCATCTTGGTAGCACCGGATATTTCTTCTTTGGCAATGACCGCTTAGCTTTAGTTATCAGAATGTGTAAGCCACAATAATTTAACAGACGTGTAAAGACTAATTTATCATAGCATGCAATGACAGTGACTATTCCAAACAGATCTCATATGAAAACATAAGCACCAGGGGGCATTTTGTCACATTCTGCCCAATAGGTATGTTAATTGAAAGTTGGTTTTAGAATAGGATGCTTCATTTCATTTTGCATTTAAATGTAAAAAAAAAAAATCTAATTTACCACCAGTAAACAAGTGGCATCTGTTATAATAATAGTTTGTTATAATGATGGCCTCTTGGTCTTTATAAAAAGGGATTTACTTATCACAGGAAAATCTATCATGATCCTTCAATACTTACCCCACATACCACTTCATTCATGAGTTTAGATACCAAAACTCATCACCCTCCAAATTTACCCAGGGAAAGTCAACTTGAGAAAAAGGAAATGATGCCAAATAGTCAGAAGAGGAGATCTGAGGCCTCCCGGAGAACACAAAAGAGAGCTATAAAAGCCAAGTGGTACAGGACCATGAAACGGAAAAGCATATCTCCCTAGCAGCATCCAGAATCGCTGCAGACATCACTAAGTTCCAACTTGGAGGGGCAGCTACTAATAATGGCATGGAGTCCAGAAGCACAGCTATCTGGAAAATACAGGGTAGTGGAACAGATTACAGTCCACAGTCGACTGACATCTGTGACCCAATGTCCTCCTTTATCACTACCATTACATAATTCAGAGTCATTCATTTAGTTATTGACAAATATGTGAATTCTTTGACTACCAGAGGTTGTATTGAGTGCTGCGTAAAGTGATGTGAACAAAACCAAAATGCTCCCTTCTCTTCTAGATCTTACATTTAATAAGTAAATCCATGTCTTCACCCGAAAATAACACCATCACCAACCTCTAAGATGAAAAGCTTCCTGTAAGGCCAGTAGAATTAGATTCTGAAAGTCAGCACCACGCCCATGTCACTGGACAGAACAACCAGGTCTAAACCACACAGGTCTGAGGGCTGTCGCTTCACCTGTATTCTCCTCTGGTTCACAAATCCAGGTGGGAATTGCTAATTGTTCATTCCCGAGGCTTGCTATTTGTAGCATTTATAAGGCTCTCCCCGTCCTCTTGCCGTTCTTCTTTATTCTTCCCAAACAACTGGCCAGGAAGTAGGGGAAGTCTGACACTGGTCCACAGATAAATTATTCATAGAGAGTAGACAGAGAGTCCTGTGGGAAATGGCCTTGGAGACTGAAACGAAGACAGTCCCAGCACCTGGGAAGGAAAGAAAGCTTTCCTAACGGAATCTGGGCCCAGGGGTGATTAAAGGTCACAGTCACCAGCAGAGATTTGGCTTTGGATTGAAAACTTACAGAAAAATAAACCATGCATGAAGCAAACTAGGCCAAGAAATTAGGAAATCATGTGCCAGAAATTTGATAAATAACAGATTCACACAAGTGATATATATGATAAGAATAATATGAACATCTGAAACCCTCATTTAACTTGACAAAATCCCATCCCAGTAAACATGAGTATACACTTCATTAAAAATAACAACAAAACTACATGACAATTAAATAACTGAATAAGTATTCTACACCACTAATAACAGAAAAGCTAAACAACATCCTAGAGGTGCTTCCTAAGAAAAAAGCAAAGGGTATACTACATCGCTACCCCTCCTCTCCACACTTCCTTGTTTTCCTAGTTTCTTTGATTTTTGCTTGGAGAGAAGACAAAGGCTATTTCAGCTACTACTGCACTACCATTATATCTTTATTAACTGATCTGTCTGTGGCTTCCATTCTTGCCTCCACACCCGATTCACCACCAAGGGATCCAGGAATGCCACTTTCTAGCTAGAAATCCTTCAATGGACTCAAATTCTTCCCAAGCCTCATTAAAGTCCTTTGTGTACAGAGCTGCTCCCTATCAGATACCCACCTCAGATCCTTCTAGGAACTCCAGGCATAATCCACTGAAGCCCTACCTACTGTATTCCTTTCTCTTCAATAAAATTCAAAGCAAGTTCCAACCTCACGGCCTTGATACCTGCTGATCTCTTTGCCCAGAAGACCTTTCCCACGGGCATTCCCCAGGCTTCTCTCACTTCCTACTCAGGGCTCAGATCAGATATTGAACCCTTTCTAGAAAAGGAAGCCCCTTCTACTCACCCACTTTGCTTTCACTGTTTTCCTAATACTTATCTCCACCTGATAGTCTTAAAGATAGTAATACCTATTATATTACTATACCTATTACATCAATATACCTATTACTTATCATATTTTTTGTCACTATGAACTTAGGCATTTACCAAAAGAAAGTAGTAGAAATGCAAATGAGGATTTAACCAAATTCAATTATTTGGGGTAGGAAAGGAGAAAGGAAGGGAGGGAGGAAGAAAGGAAGAAAACAAATGAAGCATGTCAAAGTAGCACACCAAAGAATAAGGTTTTGTTTCAGTAATTCACAATTTATCAATATGATAGCATTATACAGGCATTAAAATTATGATTTCAACAAGTGAAAACACAGAAAATGCTGATAAAACACAAGAGTCAAAATATAAAATTGTATGTTTAGTGTGATCTCAAATTTGTAAAACAAAATAGGATCACGAACTCATACATGCTTAAAAGATAGGAAGAAACACATTATGTTCACAGAGGTCATAAGTAGAGCTAACTGTTCTTCCAAGTAGGTAATTGTGGCACTTTTAAGGAAAAGCTTTTTTTTTAATTGATTTTTTTAAATACCCAACAGCAGAATGCATTACAATTCTTATTACATATATAGAGCACAATTTTTAAGGAAAATTTTTTGTAATCTGAAACAAACAAAAAACAAAACACCCCACCCCACCCCCCAAACACCCTTTTATTTCTCATGTAGCACAGGAATTTTCAAATTTATATTTAGCCATTGAAAGTTTCTTAAATTCAAACTTATCTGAAAGCCCCAAGTGAAAAATGAATAAATAAGCAAAGACTTTAAGCTTGATGCAGTTATGAGGCTTTTTGAGCTGCAGATGGGAGGGACCAAAGCTGCCTAAGCTGGGCCACTCCGAGGTACCCAGTTTGTGTAAATCCAGAGAAGAGGAGGCACACCCTTCTCTGTATACATCTGATGCCCCTAGAGATGCTCAGTTCACAGCCTATGCTACTGTGTGAGCTGGCCCTGCTCTACAGCCTACCCCTCTCTCATCCTTAATACTATGGGCACACCCTGTGGTTTGCTACTAGGTTTCCATATTATATTCTGGTATACTTGGTGTTCATAGTGTCACAACTGAGGTCCATCAACCCAATGATGTCTATAAACAATCAGCACATTAGTAGGGTCCTAACTATGCAGCTGTTTTTTATTTGTAACCTAATAGTTTATCCATTTAACTGATGGCAGGATCTTTATGAGGAAATCAGTTTGGTATTTTCAGAGCTTATAAAAGTGACAAATTGTACTTAGATTTATGCTTTTGTCACTTGGAGAATCTTTAAAACATTTCTGATGAGCTAAGTGCTCCTAATGAAGAATAGTGTAATAAATAAGACACACATAGAGACATGCACACACACCTGTGTGTGTGTGTGTGTGTGTGTTCATGCTCACATTCTTTACACCAGCAGTTGCAAATTCTAGTATTCCTGGTGGCCAGGAAGGTAATATAAATTAGTGAGGTGGCACAGTGTGCAAGATAGCCATGTGCATTGTCTGCATATTAAAGACAAGAGACTATTCTTCATTTCCACAGAGGAATGAGCTCATGCTCATTTTTCTTAAAAAAGTGTGGCACTTTCTGTCTCCTTTTGCATTCCCACTTTAGACAGAGACATAGGTCTTTCTTAAAAAAAAAAAAAAAAGATAGCACACAATGAAAAATGACAATGAACTCATTTTTGCTCAAAAATCATTTTGGTTTTTAATGCATCATACTGGTCTTCAAATTTATGAAATACT